ACCTCACGGCGACCGTCCTTGTGACGGGGCTGCTTGCCTTCATCACCATGGGTATGCGGGCGTATGTCAGAATCACGAAGCATAACTGGGCTCTTGAGGACTGGGTTATGGCAGTAGGATGCGTATGTATCTAACCTTCACAGTCGTCGATAACACACTGAGCTCACTCATCACAGTTACCTCTCATGACATTGACCATCGTCACCACCATCGGCTCCTATTATGGCATCGGTGCCAAAGACAGCACTTTTGCTAAGCCTGGCAACCAGAAATACGTCGAGACAGCATATTTCGTGAGTCATCATCCAGTGTAGCATGGAATTGGTCGGTCGCTAACGACATTCAGTGGTTCTTCCTCTACGAGGTCTTCTATTGCACATCGATCATCTTCGTCAAGTTGAGCATCGCCTTCATGCTGAACCGGATAGCCGGCAGGAGAATGGTCTACATCTACATCAACTACGGCATCATGGGCCTCTGCGCGGCGACCAATCTGGCAGCTATCCTGTACATCATCTTCCAGTGTTGGCCGGTGGAGTAAGTACAAAGTAATCCGGTATCACGTGGTAATGCTAACTGTGTACTTCTCAGGGCTGCTTGGAGGGCTGATCTTATGGCCGAAGGGACTTATTGCCAGCCGCCAGTGTATCTGCAAAACGTCTACTTCTTCTGCACTTCGGTCAACATCTTCACCGACTGGGCTACTGCGCTCATGTGAGTTACTCAAAATTCTGCTATCGAGTAGGCACTAACGCGGACCAGGCCAATCGCTCTGCTCTGGAACGTTCAGATGAACAGGAACACCAAGATCTCAGTCGGTGGCATCTTGAGCTTGGGTATCTTGTATGGCAGCCCATGAATATGACGTCAGCACAGTGCTAACATTGCTATAGCACATCCATCTCGGGCCTCGTCCGCCTGAAGTACACCGTTGGCCTGACGAGCAGCCACGACTATCTTTGTAAGCACCGCCGGACCCCCATCACATCACAACACTAACATCACATCCAGATGGCCTCGCCAACATCCTCATCTGGGGCTACGCCGAACCCGCCCTCGGCATGCTCGTCGGCAACATCGCAACCCTCCGTCCCCTCTTCCAGCGCCTTCTCCACCTCGGCTCAAGCGGCTCTCACCAGCCTCGGTCAGGTACACCCCACGGTGTCAGCAACCCCGACCGTTCACACCGCTACAAGCCTTTTGACACCGAACTCGAGCTCGGCACGGTCGCAGACAACCAGGACACGCATATGCCGGCGATTAAGGTTCATGCGGGACGTGTTAGTGTATCGAGCGATAGCGAGAGTCAGAAGGAGATATTGGAGAAGAACGATCGGTTCGTTAATAACAACAAGGACAGCATTGTTGTTAGTCGGCATGTGGAGATTAGCCGCTCGTGAATGGGCCATGGCTAGCGGATGAGAAGGTATCTCAACACTCTTGCGCGATATCTCAAAGGCTTCCATCGCAGTAGTCGCCGCGATACAAGGGTTGCATGTATTATATTTCCCGGTCTAGCTAGGTCACGTCATGTCACTTTCGGTAACGAACTCTCTCTTTTCACTCTCGGCGAAGTGCACCGTACGCGACCGAGACAGCCCTACTCATTCTTCACTCAATTCCCGCCGGTGCTGCTGTGTAGGAAAACCTGATCCCGCTATCTTGTTTGATCATATCATCCGTGTAGTTCATTCTCAGATCCTTCAGGTACTTGCTAAACCGATTGCCAACGTTGATAGCATGCTTGAGATGTGAGTACTGGAACGGCTGCTCTCTGAACTGGGCCAACTGTCTCGCAATAGTGATCGCGTTACGAATCTCTCGTCCGTTCATCGGCTCCTTGCTGAGATCGTCGATGTGGTCGAGGATATCTTCCAGGTCGTCGTCGGAAGATTCATCGAGCGTTTTCATACGCGCGATGAAGTTGCGCCAGATCTTCTTGCGCTGAACAAGGCCAAGGTTGTCGTAGTGCAGGGCTAGCTGGATGCGAGACTTGAATGCTTCGTCAACTGTAGGTTTGTTGGTTAGCGAGACTAGCGTAGCCGGGAGTTCTCGTGGGTAGCGTACAAGTACCAACGCGGTTGGAAGTCAGTATTAGGATACCATCGTAGTACTCGAGGGCACGGAGGAACACGGATACCAAAGCATTTCTCTTCAGGTCTTTCATGTCGCGTTCCTCGAGGAAGACATCTGCCTCATCTAGAAGCACGACTACGCTCGTTAGCACACTCCTGTAGTTGCATCCATGCAAGGTAACGTACCGCAGTCCCACATTTTCCCTAGCTGAAACGTAGCGCGGAGTCGCTGATCAACAACCTCAGCATCCGTTCCTACATCACCGCAAGTCACACGAAGCAACGGCTTCTCTGCAAACTCAGCAACACCCTCAGCCGTAAATGTCTTGCCAGTTCCAGGTGCTCCATGCAAAAGCATAATCAGTCCATTGCCTTTGCCAGCCACAAAGTCCGTCGACTTCTTGGCGTTGATTTGCTTCATAACAAGCGCTTGCACCAGTTCCTTGGTCTCTGGTTCGGCGACAAGATCTTTGAAGGCTTGCTTGTTCCATACTACGTCAGTGATACGGTCGACGAAAAGCTCTCTCCAGTGTTTCTCCTGCAGATTGTGAGCCATGATAGTCTCCGGCATGACCAAAAGCGCACCACCGTCTTCGGGCGGTTGATCGCGTGCCATGGCTGCGATGCCAAGATCATCTTCACAGCGTAGTTTCGCAATCTCTGATTGAGGAAACAGCATTTTGTACGCCTTCGTGTCGACCATATATCTTTCCTCAATCTACGTTGAGTTTGTTAGTTCTTGCAAGACTCTATAGATTTCTAGTGTTTGTACACGTACGTTGTAGAGCTCGTCCTCTTTAGAGCGCACATAAGATACAAACTGTCTGTTTCGAAGCGACCAAAATGTCCTGCCTCTTTTCTCAAGCAGTGATCTCATCTCTTCACTTGCATATCGAAGAGGGTAGAAATTGAGATCTCTGATTGCAATTGTCTCTTCCTCATATCCCAGAGACATCTTGATGTCTATGCTAGCCTCATGTTTTGCGAAGGAGCCGTCGAATTCCCAGAACCACATTGGAACCTGCCAAGTATAAGTGATCAATTTGCGACTGGATGCAGAATTGGCGAGAGGACCATATCTTGGGATGCGCTTCCTCTGGATAAAGTCGGACTCCTCGTACTGAGACTCGTCGAGCGTGGTTTCTGGACGTTCAATCCAGCTTGTAGCAATACATGCCTGGGGGATGTTGCCCCCTGATCCGTTACTAACGAGGACATCCCCAGGTTGAATGAGATATTTGAGGTGTTTGCGCGATACTCTTCCTTTCTCTGCTTGGAGCTTCGCTGAGTCGTATTCGTACCCATAGCTGTTTTCAATTGCGGATTGCAATTGCCTAATCAGGTTTTGACTGGGTATATCCAGATCGGGTAGTATTTCAGGAATGAACGGTGCGCTGTAGTACATGAAGAGATACGGTGCCAGGATTTGCCCTTCAGGGTCGAAGTACGGGAAGTAGTCGCCAAAATTGGGTACCTGCTGGACTAACTCTTCCACCGCATCCAGCATGTCGTCGGCTATGATCGAGAGGAATTCATGCGCGGGTGTAGGAGAGCGGTAGACACCGTCCTTGGTTTCGATCTTACTGCGATCCGAAGGTGGGGTCTGTTTGTATTCCTTGTAGATGGCGAAGGCTATCTCGGGGTGTTGATCTAGATAGTGATCAATATTCCGGATCGGATTGTTAGCCAGTAACACGACGCCAGATCCTTCAGCGGGCTCCCAACGCGGCTCATCCAAATACAGTGTCTGTCCAACTTTGTAAAAGACTTTGCTGGTATACGCTAGCACTGCAGGCTGAGAGGGTACGGACGTTTCGCCGGTTCCATGTCGCAAACGCTCGTTTTCAATCCTGAGAGCCTCCAATTCGTCCAACACCTCTCTGAATGTAATATCCTCTTGTTTTGTACGAGCCATGACCACTCCTGACATTGTTGCACGTGATGGAGCAGATTGCTGCTGCTCAGCTGGATGTTTCTCTGGAGTTAGCTTTGACGCATTCGCAGTGTGATCATCATCCGAGTAGTCAGGTTCTACATATGCAGGACGTCTATTCTGCCGAGAATGGTCCGAACGTTCTACTATGTGGGACCGACGGGTACGGTATCGTACTGGTGAAGGTGAACGAGATGATGCCGGGGATGGCGGGGAAACGTCCACGTAGTGAGGGCCCTTTGAGTCGGAGGACATGTGCTGCAGTGCGTCTCGAGTTTGATCTTCGTATGCTGCATCTGGGCCGTCACGATGGTGGAAGCGAACGCGGCTCTGTAATAATAAGTATACATCATCTCACCATTCGAACTCAAGACACTTACGGGACGATTCCGCCCAGCAAATGGCACAACAAATTCAGTCACATCCGAGGTATCTGTGGTGTCAGAACCCCTCGGAATATCCTGCTCGCTTTCGTGCTTCAGATGTTGCCAATCTAACACTCTCGCGGTCGTCGCATCCCGTGAAAGAGGAGCATAACCTCTCAAAGCATCCAAAGATTCCGCATCCCATTGCTCTTCCATTCGCACTTTCCGCAGGTCGTTGGGGCCCCGAGGCGAGGGATGAGTCGCATTTATTGGTGGCTCGACGATAATGCTGCGAGAAGATGCTGACTGTAGTGTTGCTGGCGCTTGTCGATCCATTGTTGTTTGGCTGTGATGAAGTGCGCGACGCAGTGAATCTGAAGATGATGTTCGCACTCAGGTGCGCGCTTATATGGCAAAGCCTTGTCGCTCAGCCTCAGAGCATGCAACCAATACCTCATTTGGGGGCCAAATGACTGCGCCTCAGCGGGATGGAGGCAACCATCCCGCCAGGTACCACATCTCAGCTGGATCCTCTGCTTATCGCAAGCTTCTACGATGCGTCTTTTCGTCAGCAGGAACTGATATCATTCACCCCTATTGTGCATCATTTGAGACAGATCATATTCAATGCAGTCGCAAAGTCGCTGGTACTTGAATGCCCGGGCCAGCTCCCCTGCGAGCTCAGCCGAGGATGCCTTCAAAGAGGCGCTTGCCGTCTTTCAGCTGGATCCCCGCACCTGCGCCAAATTCGACAGAGTTCAGCAACTTCAAAGTCTCAACGACTTGGAAAGCGTTCTCAACGAAGCGCGATCCAAGTACGAGCGACAACATGAGGATAAAAAGGTCGCTAAGTGGTTATCAAAGCTATCGTTGCGCATCTGCCATTATGGCCAGATCTTTGACGTCCTCGTCCAGCATCACCCTGAGTACGTCAGTCTGGCATGGGGGGCAATGAAGTTTCTCTTCGTCGTACGTACTGCTTTCCAATATGTACGAATTGCAGGCTAATAGTCCGTGTTAGTTAGTGGAAAACCATGGGAAGCAACTCAGAGTCCTTGCGAAAGGCTTAAGCCAAATCGCGGACGTATTACCGCGCATAGAATCCGCAAATATCCTCTACCCTACCGATCGCATGCGCCATGCAGTATCCGAGATTTATAGTAAAATCATCCAGTTCTTCCTTCGGGCGGAGCGTTGGTATCAGCAAGGCAAACTGCGCCATGCGTGGGAAGCCCTGAGTCGACCCGCCGAGCTCTACTACAACGACTTGGTCCAGGAAGTCGAAGAATGCACGAGATCGATTGAAGTATTGGCGAACGCAGGTGCTCAGGCGGAGCAGCGCGATATGCATCTGGAAATCAAAGAATTGGGCAAGAGGCTGAAAAGCTCGGAAGAAACCCTCCAGGAAGTGAGAGGGCTGCTCATCTGTAGGGTACTCGTGCAGTCAACAATGCTTTTTCTAATAATGCGCAGCGTACCAGTCGATTCAAACGAGTGCGAATCTGGACACCAACCACCGCCTGACGGATCTCCAGCTGAACCAGATCATGGATTTCCTCTCTGGTGCGAATGCGCTGGATCCGCTGAAAGCCCTGCAATACCGCGCTTTCATGAGTGCTCGCACCAGAGGCCGTCGGTTGAAAGAGGAGACGGGGTCGCAATTCTGGTCAAATTCGAAGTTTGCCGCCTGGGAGTCTGCATCATCACCCGCTATGATTATGGTGAAAGGCGAATACAGCACTCGATTTCAAGTCCAGGGGTTCGCCGTTGACGTCATACACGACCTGCGCAATCGGACCGTCCCCATACTCTGGGCTCTGAAGTCAGTATCGGCGCATGGTGCATCTGCTGCATCGACAGTAGACGTTATCAAAGGACTGATATGTCAGGCAATACAGCTCAATATCTCACAGCAGACGGAACGCTCACTTGCGCTGAGTTGTGCGCAATTTCGTGCAGCCGACTCTGTCGAGCAATGGTTCGACCTCTTAGCGCGTACGATCGCTAGCTTCCCTCAGCTCTACATCATCGTCGACTTGGAAGCTGTGGGAAGTTCATATCTCCAAAGCACTTCCTGGCTCTCTCAGTTGGCCGCTATGTTCCAACGACATGCTTCCGGAAAGTGGATATCGCGGCTTAAGATCTTGCTGATTAGCTACGGATCCATGCTCTGGCAGCAAGACGACCTGCTCCACTTTCGGGATATCGTTGTGCCTGCACGGCAATCTCACACTAATTCCATGCTTCAAGGTCGTCTACGCGGATCTGTCTTGCCCGGTCGCGCGCGGTCAAACCCTTCGAGAGGGAGCATGCATGCACGTTTTATTGGCAGACGAGGGTGCCATTCTACACTCGTAGGAGGCTGAACGATTCTTCGATCCCAATTTCGTGAGCATCCTGGTAGTGAGTATTGTCACCGCTGCCCGATCTTTTGCGATTATCGCTACAGGATTACTATTTGGCCCGTGTTACGGCAAGTCAAATGGCACGACCCATATATGGTCTTTGGGGCTGATTTGTTTTGAGGAAGCGAGCTAAGAGCCAAACTCATCGCGATTTCCCCGTGCCTTCTGGTGTTTTGTTTGGAACGTCGTACTTTTGAGATTCAGTAACAATTCAAAGACGCAGCTTTATACGCAAAAGGTGAAATGGCATCAGTGTTCTTGCCGCTAGATCCAATAGGCGACAGGACCTGCCGATATTGCGTTTTGGAAGATCGCCAGCAAAGCCAAATGGTGCACCTACCAGCAGTCACGCTGGCTGTCTCATAAGACGTGAATAAAACATTTTGTATAGATTGGGGGCCCATATTTTTCTGCTCGTATAGTTTTTGGTGTCGAATTCTCGCCACATTCGTCTGCTGTCGGGTATTTTTGGAGAACGGGAACTCGGCAGGCATATAAATTCGGATCACAACCACTGGTCGACACATGTCATAATAGAATAGACTTTTTGAAGTCAACAGGATGCATACATTGCCGTTGAGCTTTTGGCTTTTGCAAAGGCGCCGGAGGCCACAACCATCGAAGACGGCTCCAATTGTTTTGGATTCAATGCACACGTAAAGACGTAGACGATGAAAGGAAACACTCGGAGGAAGGACACTTTATATGCAAGCAGTTCCGTGTGCTATTGCCATTTGATAGGCTTCTCTACTACCAAGAATCGCGAAAGCAACATGGGTTAGTCGTTGCTGTGTTCCTTAGTCAAAGCAGGACAGCACATGAAGTTTGCATCGAAGACTTTTGGAACGATAACCGCGGGAAAAGCTCTCTTAGCGCGCATCAAATCCTGCGTAACGGATGTTGGAGACTTCAGCGGTGACCCAATGCAGAAGTACGCCTGAGCAAATGGCGGGTACAGACAGGCTTTTAGTTCTGCGAGAAGAGAAACTCAACTCTTTCATTGGGTAGGATGAGATGAACTTTGGAAGACTACAAAGTCCATGGCCGATGTAGGTCCACCGTTCTGGGAGAGAAGGCGGCAGGCGAGAACATGGAATGTATGCGACTGATTTTTGAAAGGCAGAAGGAGCAGAACACCATACATCGGGTGACGTATCATTTTGGAAAAGCCAAAAGGCTGTGGATGTTGAGAGCAAGAGTAAGGAAAAGAAAAAGAGAGGTATTTATACAGCCAGCGTACGGTTCCAGAATAAGATGCGAGTCCGTCGGGGCAGTACGTGCGCCTCATGTTTTTTTCGTATGTCTTTTTGGTATAAATCGAAGGTATGTATATACCCATGCATCGCATCGCTAGTAGTTTTGCGAAGTCATATAAGTCCATTGGAGAGTTTTGTTCGACGCCTTCTGCATGTGCACCATCCACAATCAGTAACCAAGGCATTCCACATGGAGTGCTTGATTGGGGGTTTCGATCGTAGGACTCGAAAAACATGGCACGCCATTGCAGTGTTTTGGGAACAAATCAATAGGTATGTGGTTGGTAGGAAACACCATCGGATGGGCATCCTTGATTTTAGGTGCAGGCGGGAACTCCATGAAACGTAAGGGTTTTGAGTTTGGTCTCGACGTCCACTCATGCGGGCTCGTTCTCTGCGTTTTGAAGAAGGCAAATCGGAAATAATAGATAATAGAAAGGTAGCTTGAGAAGAGGGATAGACTGTATTTATACCCCTCGAAGCACCCGAGAATCGCTTGAGCTAGGCTAGTGCGACCAGTAAGTCTCATGACTCTGGTACACCCAAATGGCCTGCACGCACTTCAGCACCACTGTCCAAGGTCGATAATGCCTTCATAGGTAACATTCATTCTTCTTCATTGGCATTACGCCGACCTCAAAGGTACTTGTTGGCTTTACTCATCACCGAGCTTACTCCCGCTATCGCAGAGAAACATTCCCACCACTCTACTGTCCACCAGTCTGATTATCCTTCTGCTCCATACCCACGCTCCTTCCACCAGCCTTCGTTGTGTCGCCGACAAAGTTGCCCGCCGCTATTACAACACGTTAGCACAAGCTTCATTACCCTTCCCTTGTCCGTTGCACCATTACTCACCTTTGGTAGTATCACCAGCACCCTGGGTAATCCCCGTAACAGCGTCACCGAGTCCCTTTCCACCAGCCGCGACAACATTGCCGGTAGCGTCGGTGACGCCTTGGACGCCTTTGCCGAGGGTGTTTGTTGCGGCGCCTAGAGTGTTTCCTGGATTGTTAGCAAAGACTCTGCTCTCAAGTTGCGCCCCTGCTGCTTGAACAGTAAACAGGCGTAATGGGACGTACCGAGACCGCTAGCAGCGGTGCCGAAGAAGCCTTTTTGTTGGTTGTTCTGGTCGGACATGATTGCTTTGTGTGGTAGACTCGTGCTGTGATTCGGATCGAAATATAGGGTCTGATGTGAGGATGTCTGAAGTTTCGCCTTTAGGAAGTGTTGAGAGTGAGGTGTAATGTGCTTACTTCGGCCAGCCTGATGTTCTGATATGTGGTTGACCACTCTGTCCTTATGACGTAGCCAGTTGCGCCATGCTCACCTGCATCCCTGCGCGCTGCCCCTCACCTGGAAGTTGCGCAAAGACGCGCAACGCTCCTGCCGTCTGCAAACGTCCCGCAGTAAGATCGACGTTTACATCACATCACATCATTGGCGGGGAACGTGCGTTCAACGGTTCCAGGGGCGGACGCAGACTCCCCTTGGCCCAGGCGCATCACAGACAGTATCACAGACAGAAGCAGAGTCATAATTTTTTACCAGTTTATTCGAACTAGATCAAGCTATTGCACAAAGAGTCATCTCCTCGTAGATCTTGCTCTCGTGTACGCAGGATCTTTTTCGCAAGTGCATGCCTAAGCAAGTTTGCTATCGTCGGCGGACACCGCATCACCAAGCCACCACTCTCTGTAAGAGGCAAAAAGAAGGAAAGGAGGATAACATGCGCATAAAGGGGGAGCGGGATTGGAGAGACCTCCACAGGAAGACGCGGTACTCCTTCTACCTCTTGGTCCTCCCTACCCCAAGGAAATCGCAGCGCAAAGAAAAGATGGAGGACTGAGGAAAACTTGGCCAAAATGCCCACCCAGAGCGCTCGTGAAAAGCGTGTGGTGTAGACCATCCCCATCTTCAGATCCGGAACGCCGTCATGAAGCATGCGCATAAAAAGAGTCATCGAGGCTTGTACCAACCAATGGTTTGAACACCCAAACCCATTTCGTGAGACCGGCCGTCAGACAACAAGGAAACTTTTGGAATCCATCGCTCTTGAAAGTCGCAGTAATGAAACCCCGCGAAATGCAGAACAATGCGCGCGCTGATGCCCCCTTCTATGCAACGAAACAGGCGATTAGATTACCGCGTGCGGTGTGGTCTATGGGTATAACCGTCACGCGCTCGAAAGGAAAGGTAATCACTCGGAAGGCTTGGCCTCCGCGTCGGCAGCAGACTCATCAGCAGCGTTGGATGTAGAGCCAGCCTCGCCGGCGTCTTCGTTGCTAAGAGCAGCAAGTGCACTGTGACATATGTTAGTAAAGATCTCGAGTAAAAACAGCACGGATCTTACCTGAAAGCGTTTGCATGAGCAGTGGCCTCCTTCTCCTTCTGCACTGGTGGTGTGCCATTGCGCGAAGAGGCGTTGGAGTCTTCACGACTACCCATGCCGGGACCGATACCCATACCACGGCGGCTACCGGCGCGGTTACCAAGCATGGACGGGCCGAGAGATCCAGCGTTGTTGAGGTTGCGTCCAGAAGCACCCTTGGACAGCTTGCGGAGATCGTCCATTTGGACACGGCTGCCAGTGTCTGGAGGAGGCTGCATGCCACCACCTGAGAACGAGCGAGCGTCGCCGCGACCCATGGGAAGACGGCCACCACCACCGCGTTGGTTTGAACGTGTGCGCTCCATCTCGGCGGCCTGTTGGGCTGCCATGGCTTCTTGATGAATCTCGGCGATGGTCTTGGGACCCTTGAGGATGTCCTTGGACTTCCAGCCGGACTTGCGCATGTCGACGGTGTCAAGCAACATGAAGTGCATACGCGAAGGAAGACCCTCCATGTTCATGACCTTCTCGATGCGCTCGAAGTACATGTTGATCATCTTGGGGCCGGCTTCGGCGGACTCCATCGTGGCACCCACAGTGCGTAGCAGCTTGACCAAGCTCTCAATAGCGGCCTCATCGGGGAGACCCTCAAAGTCGAGAAGCTTAAGCACACACTCGTGCATGATGCGCAGAGTCAACATGCCCAGCTTGTATAGCTCTCCGATGAACTGGATCAGACCGAGACCCTTACGCTTGGCTGCAGCGGCAACGTAGTACTCGTCTGACAGAAGCTTCGCCTCCTTTTCGCCTTCAGGCGCCTCGGGCAGGTTGACTTCCCAACCACGCTCGAACTCCTCTTGACAGCGGTTGAGGAGGTACTTACGGAAGAGAGCACCACCGACAACTGGCGCACCGTGCTTGTCGCGGACATTCTCATCCTTGATC